TACAGGTCCTTCGAGACGTAATGTTACAAACTTACAGGTCCTTCGAGACGTAATGTTACAAACTTACAGGTCCTTCGAGACGTAATGTTGCAAACTTACAGGTCCTTCGAAACGTAATGTTACAAACTTACAGGTCCTTCGAGACGTAATGTTGCAAACTTACAGGTCCTTCGAGACGTAATGTTACAAACTTACAGGTCCTTCGAGACGTAATGTTACAAACTTACAGGTCCTCTTCCTATTTATTCAAATTTCGGCTTTTCATAAAACCTCCCCATTTTGTTAGTGGAATATATGTTTAAGAACTCTTGACATAAAACAAAATAACCAGTTTCGTATAACGTTTCGTACAAGCGCAAATATCTGTTTGAAAAGTCTTTCAAGCAGGTAGTTCCCTTATAGATTGCGCGTGCTAATCTCCAGACCGTTTTCTACTCCCGCTAATGGTGAAAGGATTTAGCAGAGTTCAGATTAATCCTCTCACAAGCAACTTAGTTTCTAAAGTAAGCTACACTCGTTAGCTGCTAAAGAAACTGTAATCGCTCAGTGCGAACCTCGGCAGAAGGAAATCAAATCGCATTCGTACTTCAAATAACTTAGCTGCTTCTGCATTGAAACTCTTAATCACAAAGAGTAAAACGGTGCTTGTCAATGAAACGTGGGTTAATTGAAAACGTAGGGGTCTCGTTCTGAAGGACTTAGAGTAACCACAGGTAACACGTTACCGGAAATTACGTCATATTTTAATATTGACCAATGAACTTCAGATCACATCGGAAAGAACTACATCGCAAGACCAGGAGTCACAAGAAACACTCGGTTCTCTTGAGTTAAATTAAAGAATGTTACTATTCCTGACACAGATTATTCATAAATGTTTCAGTAATTAAATTAGTGACGTAGCTTCCGGTATTATGAACATAATGAACTATATCTTAGTACCAGTCTCTGTCGTTCGTTCTTCCTCAAGTTCAATCAAAGTTAACTAAACTGTTCCTTCAACTCCTTTTTTTGATAAAACACTCCTCCGTTCTCGTCTTTTTCTCTCCCAGTCAAGTTATCTTTGTTATATTTAAAGGTAATATGTATATATATATTAAATTCCATTCATCTGTACAAAATATATATATAAAATTTCCGTCAATGACTCAAGAATTTACAAGAACAAAGTCCTAATCAGTTAAGTATTTGACGGTAAGATGTTTGTGGTCAGTTTCTTTCAGCTATCTGCTGTGTCCAACGCGGGAAAACGAACCCCTGGATTTGAGCGTTATAATTCCGTAAACTTACCACAGACCCATCAGTGGACTGGCGATCGGACATTAATCGATGTCATGATCCAGTTATTAGTTCGTTTTTAATACTAGATACTGAAATGGATTTCGTCTTTGATGGTAGTAACAGAGATTTGACATGGAAGCCACACAATAACCAATAAAATTAAGGTGTCAGCAGTATAATATACGTATACAAGACTCGCTAATACCAATGTAATTTCAGTAGTCCATCATCCCAGAGAAAACGATCATAAAATAAAATAGAATATCATGAAAATAACGGAAAACGAGCCACATACGAGTAAAAAAAAAGAGATAAAATAAATGCCTTCAACATCTACCTGACTGATAAAATAAATGCCTTCAACATCTACCTGTCTGATAAAATAAATGCCTTCAACATCTACCTGACTGATAAAATAAATGCCTTCAACATCTACCTGTCTGATAAAATAAATGCCTTCAACATCTACCTGACTGATAACACATTCACTAAGCCTAGCATAGAAGTCAGCCAAATCTATATGTTCCTCTTGAAAACATTCATATAGTTAGTTGCTTCACGTCCTAATGGAGAAATCCCCAAAGGAGTGGATAACACATAATCCTTTCAATGAAGGAAACCCAGGATAGAATTCCAGTCTCCAACCACATGGTACTTCTTAGAAAGAAATTCCCTGAAGGCGACAGGAAATTAGCAGCCGAAATGTAGGATATTAAGCAATTCGTGTCCGGTTTATATATATATATAAAAGAAAATAAACATTTAATCATCAGGCCTCAGTGGCTAATAACCAGTACAATGCTATCTTGGGTTTCTTCCGCTTGAGAGTCACGTGTGTCAGCATCATCAATTTGCAGAAAATGACGTCTCAGTTAACTCCATGGTATTAAGCATAGTGATATCAATAAGTACGGATTCGATATCAAAATTTGTTACTGAAGACTGACCATTTCTCGGCCACCAAAAAATCGAAATCATGCTGTCATTATTCACCGAGTTCTTATCTACACGAGTTTACTGTACAATCAGTTTCAACTGTTCCGCTTATCCTCCAGAGTTGATCAGTAATACTACATAATAGTCAGTATTGGTAACATGTATTCCCTCTGTTCCATTGTCCAGGTGTTGTCTAGCGGTTAGCTTATCACATTAAATATGGAGGATCCGGGGTTCGAAACGTGATGCAGCTCAACATTGCTACCTGTAGACGTTTTATAATTTTGGCAATCCATCCTGTTCTTTAATCCAGAGAAGAGGTCGTTTGGTGCCTTCCCTCTGGTCAGTAGTTCAAGGGTTTCTGGCCTAGCTTTTAGCCCACGTGCGTATACGGTGTCGTTCAGGTTAAATATTTTGAATAAGTGCCAAAACTGCATTTTACTCCCATATTTTGCATTCATTTAAAGTTCAAATAGCATTTGATAAATAGCGTATCACATGTATGCTAACATGTACCAGAATTAAACAGTTTACACGTGGCTTATCTGATACGTCTCTTGATTATACAAGACTTATCGAACTTTTTTACTTTATTACACGTGACTCCACTGACGTATATATACATTTCTCGTGAGCTATCAGATATTATCCTGATTACTCATGACTCATTATGCAGATATTCTCTTGATTACTCGTTACTTATCATGCAGATATTCTCTTGATTACTCGTCCCTTATCATGCAGATATTCTCCTGATTACTCGTCACTCATTACACAGATATTCTATTGATTACTCGTCACTTATCATGCAGATATTCTCCTCATTACTCGTGACTCATTATGCAGATATTCTCTTGATTACTCGTGACTTATTATACACATATTCTCTTGATTACTCGTGACTTATTATGCAGATATTCTCCTGATTACTCGTCACTTATCATGCAGATATTCTACTGATTACTCGTGACTCATTATGCAGATATTCTCTTGATTACTCGTGACTTATTATGCAGATATTCTCCTGATTACTCGTCACTTATCATGCAGATATTCTCCTGATTACTCGTGACTCATTATGCAGATATTCTCTTGATTACTCGTGACTCATTGTACAGATATTCCTCTGATTACTGGTGTATTATCGTACACAGTGGATAAACCAGTGCCAGGTAACTAACACATAATAACATTGATAGCGTTGGTTTTAATTATTTGATAATGTTTCATTCCCTGTTACCAGAACTCTCTCCTTTTCCTTCGTATACAAAAGTAGAGACTCTTCAATAGCATCGTATGAAATACGTTAAATATAACCAGTTAGAAGGCTTTTTAATGTATATTATGTAATCTTGTATATTCCTGTTTATATACAGTCTATATATGTATATAAACAGGAATATACACGAGAAATACAAGATTACAAATGGGTTGATAGTCTATATATATCAACTCATTTGTAATCTTCTATTTCTCGTGTATATTCCTGTTTATATACAATCTATATATATCAACCCATTTGTAATCTTGTATTTCTCATGTATATTCCTGTTTATATACAATCAAATGGGTTGATATATATAGTTATCTTGTATTTCTCATGTATATTCCTGTTTATATGCAATATATATATATCAACCCATTTGTTATCTTGTATTTCTCATGTATATTCCTGTTTATATACAATCTATATATATCAACCCATTTGTTATCTTGTATTTCTCACGTATATTCCTGTTTATATACAATCTATATATATCAACCCATTTGTAACCTATTTATATTTATTTCTTTCGTAGGCCTTCAGGGTTGCATATATATCTTCATAATATGCCAATTTATACGTTAATTCGTTAAAACCGCTCTAGATGAGCTCAAATTATGCAGATTTGGCTACAACTTTGTATGTATTTATATATAACTTTGTATATTCTAGTTTTAGAATTTATATTTCTTGAACTTTATTTTCCAGCCCGGATGTAAAGTTCTGTTTGTTGCAACTAAATACTTTCGCATGACTTCTTATATGTGGATGTTCTGCGAGGGATTTTACCTCCACAGACTCATCACGGCCACATTTACTGAACAGAAGAGTTTAGTTATATTCTACGCTATTGGTTGGGGTATGTACTAGACTCTTAAAGGCTCTACGTTATTGGTTGGAGTATGTACTAGCCTCTTAAAGGTTCTACGTTATTGGTTGGTGTATGTACTAGACTCTTAAAGGCTCTACGCTATTGGTTGGTGTATGTACTAGACTCTTAAAGGCTCTACGTTATTGGTTGGAGTATGTACTAGCCTCTTAAAGGTTCTACGTTATTGGTTGGTGTATGTACTAGACTCTTAAAGGCTCTACGTTATTGGTTGGAGTATGTACTAGACTCTTAAAGGCTCTACGCTATTGGTTGGTGTATGTACTAGACTCTTAAAGGCTCTACGTTATTGGTTGGGGTATGTACTACACTCTAAAAGGTTCTAAGTTATTGGTTGGAGTATGTACTAGACTCTTAAAGGCTCTACGTTATTGGTTGGGGTATGTACTACACTCTTAAAGTCTCTACGTTATTGGTTGGAGTATGTACTAGACTCTTAAAAGTATTTTTTTCAGCTCCTAAAATTTATATTGATAATTGAAAAAACACATATGGTATTTTGCAGCTAATAACAAAAAAAAACCCTAAAGATCAATCGTTTCGGTACACAACATGATGCAAAAGTTGCGTAACACTGTATTCCTAAATCCTTACATCAATCTTTCTAAATCATATTTGTGTTTCAATAGCTGTCATTTTTCATTTGGACCGGACGTGGTTTTAGTGGTCATCTTGCCCTAACTACAAACCCGAGGGTTTATGGCTAACATATGTCCCTTGTTGAAAAACAAAGTAGAAAACGTGAACTCTATGCGCTGGGAAGCTTTGGATGTGCTAAAAAAGTGACAGTCAAATCCCATCTTTCGGTCAGACAATAGTAGCCCAAGAATTGGCGCTGGGCGCTCTTTCCTAGCTGTCTTCTCTTTAGTCCATCATTTCAAAATTAATGTCGGACTATTTGCAAATAGTCCCTTTGTAGCTTTGCGCGAAAGTTCTAAATACGTTTTTTCAGTGGTTTGAATGTCATTAACCTTAAACAAACACGTGGAAGCAACAGTAACATTACAAAATGGAGCCACGACCTGACTGAAAGTGTGACACTGTGTCATAAATGTTTAGAACAACTGCCTTATGGTGCACGCCTTTTGTATCATCCGTTATGCAACATCATAACCTTTACGTCATTATTAAGCTCCTTGAAGTAATAATCCAGTCCCTGTTAATCATCCAATATGCAACATCATAACCTTTATGTCACTATTAACCTCCTTGAAGTTATAACCCAGTCCCTGTTAATCATCCAGTATGCAACATCATAACCTTTATGTCACTATTAACCTCCCTGAAGTTATAACCCAGTCCCTGTTAATCATCCAGTATGCAACATCATAACCTTTATGTCACTATTAACCTCCCTGAAGTTATAACCCAGTCCTGTTAATCACCTAGTTTGCAACATCATAACCTTTATGTCACTATTAACCTCCCTGAGGTTATAACCCAGTCCCTGTAAAAAAATATGCGCAATGCACTTTAGTGATATAAAACTCCGTTATTACGGTTTAGGTTCTGTTTTTTAATTATTTTAAATATATCATACTTTAAACAGGTAGTCCTCTAATGATCAAGAAAGACCAGATTCTTGTTTAGACAGCAAGCACTAAGAAACACAAACAATCACCAACAGAATCAAGATTAGTCCTAGTATGTCCTCTAATTAGTCTTAGTCTATAGTAAAGTACTTATCTAGGTTCTTTAACAGTTTGAAATAATCCTTCAAAAGCTAAACATTTATTAGGGTGAAATTTGGTGACAAAATATGCGATTAATTGTACAACTAACTGCGTAGTCTCACTTCTCTTCAGTGAGAGCGTTTTACACCCAGTAAGAGTGTGCTACACCCAGTAAGAGCATGTTACACCCATACGTTTGTTTTTTTATTTGTCAACAACATCAGAGTCTCTGTCTTACACTTTCCTATAACCTTGTTTCTGTCTTTGTTTTTTATCGTTTTATTCTAGTCTACAACACTGATTTTCTTCTGCATCTACTTAACTACAGTATTTGTGACACATTTAGTTCCCCGCGTATAATTTATATTACTCTGTAATACTGTTAACTACAGTATTTGTGACACAGTTAGTTCCCCGCGTATAATTTATATTACTGTGTAATACTGTTAACTACAGTATTTGTGACACATTTAGTCCCCCGCGTATAATTTATATTACTCTGTAATACTGTTAACTACAGTATTTGGGACACAGTTAGTTCCCCGCGTATAATTTATATTACTCTGTAATAATGTTAACTACAGTATTTGTGACACATTTAGTTCCCCGCGTATAATTTATATTACTCTGTAGTACTGTTAACTACAGTATTTGTGACACAGTTAGTTCCCCGCGTATAATTTATATTACTCTGTAATACTGTTAACTACAGTATTTGTGACAGCCCTGTTTCCAGATTTTTGATTTAAACTAATCTTTTACTTGAGACTGTTTTCAGCTAATCTGTAACATGTTGTATGATAGTGTGTTAGAGTGGTCTGTTTTAATACAACCTGTGAAAGTGAGCTGTTTGAAGCTAATTTGTAACATGTTACAGTGGTCTGTTTTAAGACAACCTGTGAAAGCGAACTGTTTGAAGCTATTCTGTAACATGTTACAATGGTCTGTTTTAAGACAACTTGTGAAAATGAGCTGTTTGAAGCTAATTTGTAACATGTTACAGTGGTCTGTTTAAGACAACCTGTGAAAGCGAACTGTTTGAAGCTATTCTGTAACATGTTACAGTGGTCTGTTTTAAGACAACCTGTGAAAGTGAATTGTTTGAAGCTAATTTGTAACATGTTACAGTGGTCTGTTTTAAGACAACCTGTGAAAGTGAGCTGTTCGAACCTATTCTGTAACATGTTTTAAACTATGCGATAACAGTGGATTGCTTTAAGCTAGTTTGTGACAATGGTCTGTATTAAACTAGTATGTGACAATGGTCTGTATTAAACTAGTTTGTGACAATGATCTGTATTAAACTAGTATGTGACAATGATCTGTAATTAAACTAGTATGTGACAATGGTCTGTATTAAACTAGTATGTGACAATGGTCTGTATTAAACTAGTATGTGACAATGG